ATTTAAGATTATGGGCAAAATACTGAATGAACCAGAAAACATCAAAAAAAGATGGAGGGAATATACAGAATCACTGTCCCAAAAAGCACATGTACACTGAAAAATGTCAGAAAGTATCACATGAGCCGGAGTCAATGGTAATGAAGGAGGAAATAGAAGCTGCATTGAAGGCATTGGCAAAAATAAGGCCCAGGAATCAATGGGATACCAATTGACTTGTTTCAATTAACCGATGCAGCCTTGGATACACCCACCAGTCTATGCCAGGAAATATGGAAGACAGTTGTCTGGCCAACGTAATGGAAGAGGTGAATATTTGTTCTCATTGTCCAGAAAGGTGATCCAACTGATTGTGGAAACTTAATATCACATGCAAGCAAAATATTGCTGAAGATCATTCAAAACAGCTAGAACTGCCAGAAGTTCAAGCAGGAATTAAAAGAAGCCATAGCACCAGGGAATATCATTGCTGACGTCAGATGGATCCTGACAAAGTAAAGAATACCAGGAGAATGTCTATGCTTTCTTGACAATGAAAAGACATTTGACTGTGTTCATCATAACAAGTTGTGTCTGACATTGAGAAGAACAGAAATCCTAGAACACTTAATTGTGCTCATGTGGAACCTATACCTGGCCCAGGAGGCTGCAGTATAAACAGAACAAGGGAATACTACATGGTTTAAAATTGGAAAGGGAGTGTGTCAGGATTGTATTCTCTCTCCATACCCATTCAATCTGTATGCTGAGCAAATTATCTGAGAAGCTGGACTCTAGAAAGAGGAATGTGGCAACAGTATCAGAGCCAGACTCAATAATAACAGGTGTTTTGCAGATGACATACCCTTGCTCAAAGTGAGGAAGACTTGAAGCACTTGTTGCAGAAGATCAAGAATACAGCTTTCAATGAGGATTATATCTCAATGTTAAGAAAACAAAACTCCTTACCACTGGAGCAATAGGCAACATCATGATGGATGGAGAGAAGTCTGAAACAGTCAACAACTTCAGCTTACTTGTATCCACAATTAACACCTTCGGTACCCAGCACTCAGGAAATCAAGAGACATTATTAACAAATGGTGGTTGTTGTTGTTGTTGTTAAGTGCCGTCGAGTCACAGGTGACTCATGGCGACCCTACGAAGGAGAGTCCTCAACGCTTGGTGTCTCTCATCCTCTCTCCAGGTTCATAGGGTTTCTGGAGGCAAGCTATTATGGAAGTGGATGCCACTCTTCCTTCCAAGCTTTTTGTAATTGGGGAGCTCCACCCCACTCTCTGTCCACATTGGGTAATCAGCCATTAATGCATTTGACACATCAGTGTCACAGTGTTCAGCCTCACAGCAACCACAAGTTACCGCTGTATGACAACTTGTACACCAGGGCTATACGATCTAGAGGAATGTCTGAACAAAAACAATAAAAGACTAGCCCTTGGGCCTGTGGCCCTTGGGTCCTTCAAGGTCTTACCAACCCAGCACACCTAAATACTGGCAAAGTCCTTCCGCCAGACCCCCAGTTCATCTGGCATGTCTGCTCTGCCAACCCCACGTGGGGCCCAAAGAACACCAAAATTGCCCTGAGCCCTCAGACCTGCTGTGCCTCAAGGAGCCAGTGTCCGATGCTGTTGTTGTTATGTGCCGTCGAGCCGTTTGCGACTCATAGCGACCCTATGCACAACAGCCCTAAACCCTGTTCTATCCTGTGCTAATCTCACTGCCTCTGACACACCCATCCCGATTACCCCAGTCACTGAATCAATCTACCTCATAGAGGGTCTTCCCCTCCTGTGGTGTCCCTCCACTCTGCCCAGCATGATGTCCCTCTCTAAAGACCTGTCTCTCCTTACAACATGTCCAAAGTATGTCAGGCGAAGCCCCAGAATCCTTGCCTCCAAGGAGCAGCCTGGTTTAACCCTCTCTAGGATGAATCTACTTGTTTTCTTGGCAGTCCATGGTACATTCAATACTCTTCTCCAGCACCACAGCTCAAAGGCGTCAATTCTCCTTCTATCCTCCCTAGTCATTGTCCAACTCTCTGATGCATAACAAGTGATTGCAAAAACCATGGCCTGTATCAGGCGCACCTTAGTCTCCAGAGAGACACCATTGCTCTTGAGTACTTTAGAGAGGTCCCTAACTGCAGACTTTCCCATCGCAATACGTTTTTTGATTTCCTGGCTACTGGTGCCAAGAGTGTTGACCGTGGAGTTGAGCAAACAGCTGACATTAAATCTCCCAAGACCCTAGGCTGGACATGGCCATGCAAAATTAAATTCTCTATAACAAAATGAGATTTAGAATTATACTATTAGCTCAGTACTGTGTGGTTATGAATTTTTTTAAAAAAGATCTTGTTAGTTCTTTGTTCTTAAAGAAAGATGAATTTCAAATTTATTTAAATGTATCTAATGCTGATGTTTGTACATAGGGTTTTCAGAGGCCTGCTATTTCAGAAGTGGGTGGCCAATCCTTCTTACTAGTCTGTCTTAATGTGAATGTTCAGATTTAGAGAAGTATCAGACAGACCAGCAAGTTAAAGGTATATCCCTTATTGCGGAGTTAATTTTAGTGTCAGTGTTGTCCCTGCCTTTCTCACACGTGTCTTTACCCACTTATTTCCTTGCTCCACCATCCACCAGGATACCCATCCACTTCTACCCCCTCTCTTCACATCTATCTCCCTTTGACCAGCCCTCCATCTAATAACTTATATATGAAGCTTCCATGGCTTCTGTGATTCCAAACACATCAGCTGATGGTAGTTCCTTAACAACAACAACAAACAACAATGCTGATGTAATAATTAACTAAAAAAACTCACAAAAAACTGAAACAAAAAAAAAATACAGGAGTTTGTGTACATTAAAATTTTTCTATGTTAAATTAAAAACTTAAAAATAAATGGAATTTGAAATTTTGTCCAGGGTAAAAATTAATTTTATACACTGTCCAGGTAACGATGGCTTCTCTGAGACACATCAACCCATCAACCATGTGGAAATGTCCCTGTCTTTTCTTCCCCTGCCCCCTCATCTGACTTGAGCAGATCATTCTGAGAAGAAATTGCATTTCTCACAAAGTAGAAGAGCCACTGCCTAAACTAAAAGAGAACGTTTTATAGAATCCAAAAGTTATGACTTTTGTTTACATATAAAAGTAGTATATAAGCAACAAGGTATATTAAAACCCATCAGAAATGTGACTGGGTCACATTGATTCTACAGCTATGGAGAATAGCAAGTAAACATACCCCCCCCACCCCCGCAACTGGGGAGAAATGGAAAAAATGGACTTGTCAAGATAACCTTGATGTATTAAACAGAAAAACATCAATAACCTTTCAACATTACATTTATTAAGTTATGAAAGGGGAAAAAAATAAGACCTAAAAAAGAGATATTTTGAGTGAGCTACTACTGAGAGCTCTGTTTCTTCTAAAAAGGATTTACTTGCTCATGTATTCGATACTCAACTCTGCTTCAGAGGATAGCTCCAGTGGCACATGGTGACAGAGGGCCACTGGTTTTCCAAATGTGCTTATTTTAATGTCCTTTCCACTTAAGTTAGGTGGCTAATGGACTTTCTGAAGACAGATGAGTTGTGCCTGCACTGTTCGATACAGACAGCAAGTGAAGATGGGACAATGGTCTATTTTTACAATTGATTGATCAAGGAGATCTGAACACATTCCAAAAAAAAACCAAAACACCTTTTATTTCTTTTATGAGATAATGACATGATCTTTCAGGTTTCCCTCATTATATTACTGTCATATTCCAATCTTGTTAACATTTAATGTATATTTACTTTTACATACTGTGTTGCTATAGTTATGTGTCATCAAGTTGTCAACTCACAGATGACACTCCAGCTGGTTTTCAGGGGCAGTAAATCACATGAGAGGACAGTGCCCGTCTTTCTTCCACTGAGATGCTGGTGGATTCGAACCAAAGGTGTTTGGTTTGGCAGAGCAGATCCTTACCACTAGAGCTCTTTTTACTTATATCATCTTGTTAATACTTACAGCACTTCTAGGAACTCTTTTCTGGTCTCACTTTCACATAGTGATACAATGAACATGAGATCTTCATTTTCAGCTGAATACACGGATGTTTACCCATTAATATTTTCCCCACCCTTTTACATGGTTTGCATTTTTTGTTTAATTTTCTCTCATCTGCTAGAAATATTTTTGTGGATTTAAGTAAAGGTATATCTTAAATGATAGTAATATGGTTGAAATCTGGACCTAGAAGTTGCTGGATGGTACAAGATGAATGGTTGTTTTTTGAAAGTGTGTAAGTTCAAATCTACTCACAGGAATTTTAGAATAAATGCCTGTCGATCTATTCCAAAGAATCAGCCACTAAACTTCCACAGAGCAGTTGTGCTCTGCAGGTATGCAGCCACTGCAAACTGGAGCAGACCTGATGACAACTAACAGCAACACTTCTTAACTTAGATATACAGAGAAAAAAAAATTCCATCTTCTAGGATCTAGAAGACGGCAAACAATGAAACAAATCTTTAACTCTCAACTACAGAATTGTTAACGGCATTCTAGCTACTCAAACTTTATTCACTTACAAAGCATCCTATCTTACGTACAATAAATAATAAGTGTATTCAAATGGAATCTCAGGGATGTGAAAAGAGAGCAGACATTGGCATCTTGGGAAGGGAATCTGCTGAGCAAATGTATTCATGTGCTGTTGGTATCTCAAACCCTTGCTTTCGTACTCGGACATGTGAAACATAACGTGAAAATAAGATCACTCTGCAGCAGGAGGGTGTATATATGCACAAGTGCATACAGATGAAGTCAGTGAGGAGAAAAGAGGAATTATCTGGACAGAATGCCTACCAGTCAAGGGCATCCACAATATGCCCTCTGAAGGGAAGAGAGATAGCAGGGTAACTGGATTCCTGAAAGCTGCCCTTCCAGCCATTAAGAAAGCAAGTATTAGAACCCCACCCCCTTTCTCTGCGGAATCACCATGGCGGCTGGGACCTTGTACACATACCCCGAAAACTGGAGGGCCTTTAAGGCCCTCATCGCCGCTCAGTACAGCGGGGCTCAAGTCCGCGTGCTCTCCGCACCACCCCACTTCCATTTCGGCCAAACCAACCGCACCCCTGAATTTCTCCGCAAGTTTCCTGCCGGCAAGGTTCCAGCTTTTGAGGGTGACGATGGATTCTGTGTGTTTGAGAGCAATGCCATTGCCTATTACGTGAGCAATGATGAGCTGCGGGGAAGTACCCCAGAGGCAGCAGCCCAGGTGGTGCAGTGGGTGAGCTTTGCCAACAGCGACATCGTTCCCCCAGCCAGCACTTGGGTGTTTCCCACCTTGGGCATCATGCACCACAACAAGCAGGCTACAGAGAATGCTAAGGAGGAGGTGAGGCGAATT